TTGCGGTACGCGGGCCTCTCACTGTTGTGGCCTCTCCCGTTGCGGAGCACAGGCTCTGGACACGCAGGCTCAGCGGCCATGGCTCACGGGCCCAGCCGCTCCGCGGCACGTGGGATCTTCCCGGACCGGGGCACGAACCTGCGTCCCCTGCATTGGCAGGTGGACTCTCAACCACTGCGCCACCAGGGAAGCCCTAGCTGGCTCATTTCTATTCGACATATGTTTACTGAATACCTACTATGTTCCCGGCATCCTAGTAAATACTAGGAATTCAGGTAGCATGAATCATTATAAAACATGGCATATTAGTGAAACATGTACACTAGAGCCAGACTCACAGTAAAGCACTGAATGTGCGTTTATCTTAGCTTCACTGCTTACTATCTGTGTGACCTTGGGCACACTTAACCTCTCTATGCTTCAGTTTCATTATCTGCGAAATAAGGTAATAATGAGACTATAACTCAAGGGATTGCTATATGACTTGAAAGGATCAATATACTTAATGCACACAGAACAGAACAGTGGCTGGTACATAGCTCTGTAAGTATTTGTCAATTAAAACAGCAGGTTTCTGCTCTGTAGAAGTTCTCCATCCTTTGTTTAGACAGTTAGCCTAGCACACTGGGGGAGCACTAGGCTAGCCATCCTAATTGTTGTTATATGTGGCTTGAAGGCACAGACTAATCTAACTGACTAGTGAGTCACCCCACCCGGTGCCAAGTACCACTCCTGGCATGTGATAGACTTCTCAGTATTTGCCGAATGGCTGATTGAATGGGTCCCAAAATTAAAGAGTCAGGGAACAAGCATCATGGGAAGCAAATAAATATTTGAATGGTACCTTAAACGATGAGAAAGAAGAGCAGCATTTCTTCCTGTAGGGAAGGGACAAGAGATTCTAGACAGTTGAAGCAGCAGGAGCAAAGTCACTGGGTTGTCAAGGCGACTAGCTTTCTTCCTCTCTCCATATAGCCTACTCTTCTCACTTCCTTTACCCAAGGGATTTGGGAATTGGATCTGGGTGTGCCATGGAATCTGCAGCTCTCAACTCCTGATAGATTATAGAGCCCCATTCTGATGAAACCAGGTGCTAATGAAGATGCTCAAGGGATATCCGTTGTTCTTTCCTTTAACACATGTTCGTTCAGAGGGAGCTGGCTGATTTCAGAAATCCAGCAGGGATTAAAGTACTGAATGTGTATTTACTTAGCCCATCTGTTCATGGTGAGAGTTTGATTACATTTGACTGTTAATGTAATTGATATTTTCCTTGAGTTTGATCCTCCTCCACGAAGGACTAGTTTTACAGTTACTTTCAATTAAACTACGTATAATTAAATATTTTAAATATTTAAATATAAAATAGTTTTTAAAATATTAAAAAAAATCATCTGGTGGTTCTCATGGCAGAGATATCTGACTGTGCCCCCATATCCAATATCCATTCTCTCCTTCTATAGCAATAACATCCCTTTTTTGGGGGGCACGCTGTGAGGCTTGTGGGATCTTAGCTCCCCGACCAGGGACTGAACCCGGGCCCTTGGCAGTGAGAGCACAGAATCCTAACCACTGGACCGCCAGGGAAGTCCCAGCAATAGCATTCTTGATTTTTATCTGGGCACATGAACACTGAGGATAAAGACTATATTTCCCAGCTTCTCACACATCCATAGGTGGCCAAGTGACTAAGCAGACATGGTATGTTCAATTTCCAAAAAAAAAGTGCATTTTAAAAGAATGACATTTTCTTCTCCTTTTTTCCATATCCTCCCCTCTGGATGGAACGTCGATGTAATGGCTAGAGTTAAAGCAACCATATGAACCTTGTGAGGTGAATTAGGGACTAGAAGAAAATGTTTAGGAGAGCAAGTAAAAGTATGGGTTTTGATACTCCATGGAGTACTGAATCGGAGTGCGTCTTGCTACCCATCCTGACATCTCCTTTGTCCCCTCCAAGTCATCTGTTACTACTCAGAGAATAAAAACTAAGGTTTCCCAAGCAAATAAGAATAATAATGACAATAATAATAATCAAAAGGATAAATTCGTTGCAAAAACTTTGCTTCTTCCTTCCCCATCCGAACATATCACCTTGTGAATTTCACGGCCACTTTAGTTTTTGGAAGGTCTCATTTGCATTCTATAAATGTAGATGATTAAGAGTCATTCTGTGAGTGGGAAGGGAAGTAAGGGATAAAATACGTGGAAAAGGAGCAGCAATGTTACTGAAAGCAGTTTAGGCAGAGGAAGATAAGACTCCAGCAGTATGTAAATTATGATACAGCCATAATGCAAAGCTACCCAATGATTAAAGAGTGTGTTCTAGAATCACATGTATTGCTTTGGGGAAATCTGCAGGATATTTTGTCAAGTGAAAAAGTAGATTCCAGGCGTGGGGAGGCGCGGCGGGGGAAGCCCGCGGCGCCCGCCTCCAGGGGGCCCAGCCCTGCCGCCGGGCGTCTGGGCGTCCCCGCGAGTCCAAGCCGGAGCCGAGCCCGAGCGCGAGCGGGAGCCGCCCGCCCTGGACCACAAGCCCCTGCTGCCCGAGCGGCCGCCCGCCTACCACCTGGAGGCCGGCCAGGGCGACTAAGCGTGCGGCCCGCACCGCTACGGCGCCCTCCCCGCGGCCGCCCTCCCCTTGCCTCGTCACAGGGTTACCCCACCACCACCCCAGGGTCTGCAACATCCACAGTCGAAATGTCAGCCGGCACCGTGGCAGTTCCAGTCGTTGTCGTTGGAGGCTGCCCTGTCTGCAGCGTCGGGGCTCTGGAGGACGCCACCTTCCTGGGCATCTTCCTGGCCATCGTCTTGTGCCCCTTTGGGTTCATCTGCTGTTTTGCCTTGAGGAAGCGAAGATGGCCCAACTGTGGAGCAAACTTTACTTAAAGGGAACAGGACACCTGGCTTCCCCACACCCAGCTCTCTTTTTCTAATGTAAATGTCGTGTACAATAGCTTTATGGGATTCAGCTTCAGGACTGTTTTGTAAAGTGAGGTGGGACTGGGCGGGCGCTGCCAGGAGGAGCTGAGGGCGCAGGGGTCGGGAGTGTGGACGCACACGGCACTGCTCCCAGGTCAAAGACAGCTCAGTAAAGCACTGCTTTTAATTTTCACAGTCTTCAATTTGAGAAAAGTGAGAAATAGTGTTTTAAATAAATGAGATCCATACCATTGTCAAAAAAAAAAAGATTCCAGAATAATAAATAAATACATATTTATATAGACTTAGAAAAAACAGGAACTACGGACACCAAAATGTTACCAGTATTTATCAGTGGCTAGTAGGATTATAGATGATTTTTATTTTCTTTTATTCTGTTTATTTGTATTTTCTAATTTTCCATGAGCAACACATATGATTTATGTACATTTTAAGTTGTTTAAAAAGCAATTCTTGGGACTTCCCTGGTGGTCCAGTGGTTAAGACTCCACGCTTCCAATGCAGGGAACACGGATTCGATCCCTGGTTGGGGAACTAAGATCCCACATGCTGCTCGGCCGAAAAATAAAGGCAATTCTTAGGTGGTGGCAGGAATAAACCTCCACACTTGCATGAGTCAGAGTGATGTCAAGTTATGCTGTGATGACAAACAAAACCCTAAAATCTCAGTGCCTTAACACACCAGAGGTGGATATCTTATGCATGTGTGGGTCAGTGGGGACATCTGTCCATCAGGTGTGGCTCAGGGATCCATCTCAGCTTGCAGGTCTCAAGGTCAATGCAGGGGAAAGGAGAGGTAGAGAAGACATTTCCATTTCTAGTTGACCTGTCAGAGCTTGCGCATAGCCCTTACCTACCTGCAAGGGAGGCTGGGAAATTGGGGGAGTCTATGGGGTATACTAAGTGAGCACTGTCTCTGCCACATACACATACGGTGATTACGTTTTTCTCATCCAAAACCCAAAATTTAAAGCATGACAAGTAAATAATTGACTTTAAAACTGATTTTCCAAAGTACACACACAACAGAATAAATGGTTGCGTGCTTGCTACAGTTTTTAAAATGGTCAACAATGGCCTTGGCTGTGAGGAAGGGGGAGGAAACTGAGAAAAGATGAGGCCAAGACTAAAGGTGTCCTCTTCCCCCTCCTATGGCTCTTTAATGCATAAAGTTAAGTCTCAACCGTAGTCCAAGTGGAGAGAGGGAAGACAGGACTGAGACGGGAAAGGGCTGGCCAGGAGAAAGAATGAGGATTTCTGAGGGACTAGGAGGTAGAACATGGACCTCTCCCCGTAGACCATGGAAATACCAGGCAGACGCGTGAGCTGGCTAGAAACTGGGGAGAAGCGCTGGTCCAAGTAGGATGGAAAAAGTTAGGAAGGCTGCCCGGTCTGGGCAGTGCCCAAGGTGGGAATTAACGTCAGAATGAAAAGCCAAGAATGTGGGGTGGGGATGGAAGTGGAATTTGAGCAACTCCCTTCAAATGTGCCCTACCATTTGGTTCATACTCTCAAGAAACTGCAGGTTGTGACTTGTCATCAGTTTGATTTAAGGGGACATGGGTAAGACAGACAACATAAACCAACTCAGCAGTACCCTGACCTACAAGAAGAGCCCACAGTCTAAATTAGGGACCAGGGCTACATGGAAAACTGAAGGCTGAATCAGACATCATTCCAGACATAGACTGGGGCAGGCTATGGAGACAGTGGAGATAGATGGCTGACATCAGGAAGGCAGCAGTGACTCCAGGTGATCTGAATGGTTGGATCAGGACCCCAGCAAGCAGCTGGGGATGGTGAGAGGAGGGTCCAGCTCCCCAAAAGTTTCTAGCAAGAGAGACTGTGACTGTGGTCCTACTAAGGGACAGGGCTTCACAACAAGTGCCACCCGAGAAGGAGAACTGGAATACCTATGTGGAAAGCAAGGAAAATAGTCATCGTAGGCAAGAATAAAGGAGAAAGGGAGACCGCAGCTTTGAGGGTATATGGTTGCCCAGGGCTTCACTTCTGATAAAGGGGTAGGACAGAAAGATCTATAGATGAGGCAGCTTCTCGCCTGCCTGACTTAGTCTGCATAGGCTTCAGGATGGAGTAGAGTTGGGCCCATGGATAGAAGGCATCAGTACCTGAAGCAAAGCAGGTTTGGTGAGGCTGGATGCATATCTACTAACAGAACTTGCCCAACAATTCAGAAAAGCTTTTCCGAGACAGCCTTGTAAAGAGGTTATTCACCTTGTAGGTAGGTTCTTCCACTCACCCGGCAACAACGTTCATGTGGCTAGGTATCACCAGTTACTGACACAGAGAAGTACGGTGGGAGGAAACACCTAGACTGGCGGAGTTACCATTATTTACCAAGCTACTGCTATTGGTTTATTGAATACCTTGGGTGAAAATCCCGTGTTTTGTCTCCTTGAAAGATATTTTAAGACACAGATAACCTTTTTTTTAAAAGTTAACTTTTTTGTTTGTTTGTTTTTTGTTTTCTTTTTACTTCTTTAGCTGAATGTATCTATTGTGCATGAATGCCTGGGCTTGAGTGCTCAGGACAGCACGGTGTGGAAGGAAAGCTCTGGATTAAGAATCAAAGATTCCAAATTCTCCTATGGTTCTAGAGACGACCAAAGAAAGCAATGTTTAAATGACACAATGTAATCGAAAAATGAGGTGCGTATGGGTATCTACCCATCCAGCAACTTTGCAGACCTTGGATTAGTGTGATGCGAATAAGGTGCCGAGGGCATCTCACCCCAGGGTCATGCAGGGACCCTGCTAAGTGAATGAGAACCATGTGCAAGACCAGGCAGCCTTTCAGAAAAGGTGTCCCCGGCTGGGACTCCAGGAGTAAGAGCAGTGGGCGGGGCTTGTCTGGAACGGTCAGATTTCTGAAAGTAACCCTTCCAGAAGCTGCTGAGAATTGAGGTGATTGCGAGGCAGAGAGAAGCCCAGTAAACTGAGTCAGTGTGATTTGGCCTCCTGGCAGCTAGTAAGGGATGCCCGGAAGGGCCAGAAGGGACAGGTTAGGGGGCACGGTCTCACCTACCATTCCTGGCTGAGAAAACCTCCCTCCGCCTCTGAGCTGCCACAACATGGCAGGCCTTAGGGATCAGTATGTCTCACTGCCCCTCCCTCTGCTATGACCCCAAGTAAAATGTTTCCTTTGAGACTGCAAAAGGTTTTCATGTTTTAGAAGCCACTTTGCAGGTGTGATAGGAGGTCTAGCAAAACAAGTCAGGCTGGGTTCTCAAGCCTTTATCAACTAATGCCTTATCAGTCACGCCTTATCTCCTAACACCTCTGTAGGAATTAATTAGCTGAGTGTCAGCTGAAAGTAAGAATGGATCAGAAGAGTAGGAGGAAGTAGCTGGAGAAAGGTCCTTTGTCCTGACAAGTAAGTGCATCACAATGTGCTTTCTGCAGTTTTGCTTGCCTTGGTCCTGAATATGCCACCGAAAGTAGTTGACTCTCCCCTTCCCAAACTATGGGGACCGTTGGATACAGATGCTTAATTATCAGATGTTGTTAACTCATTGTCATTGTAATTTGGTGATGCCCCAAATCACCCATTTGCAGAGGATGACTGATCCAAAAAGGTATCCTAAAAATTAAGGTATGGGAATTCCCTGGTGATCCAGCGGTTAGGACGCCACGATTTCACTGCCAAGGGCCTGGGTTCGATCCCTGCTTGGGGAACTAGAATCCCACAGGCCACGCGGCTTGGCCATAAATAAATAAATAAATAAGGTAAAAATCAAGGTATGCCAGCTGGTATTTATTAAATGTCTCTATCCTCAGAGAGACTAGGCATTAGGGGAAATATATATATATATATGGAGAATTCCTATAGAGTTTACATTCTAGGATTCAGATTCAACTATTATTTACCAAGCTCCTCTGATGTGTTAAGTATATATCAACTCATTTAATTTTACCAAATCCCTACATAATAATAATATAAGTATTATTATCCCAGTTCTTATTCCCAGGGCATTCAAGTCCAAGCCCAGCACAGTTTCTACTATGTTATGGTGGGGTGGGGAGTAATACAGTCAGTACACAGAAGCTTGAAGAGCTGAGATACATAAACATACTCATGAGTCACTAACACAGCTTGACACATCGTAATTAAGTGTCATGTATTTGGGAAGGGGGGTGATAAGGATAAAAGCTGGGAGAGGGAATTGACTGAAGGGTGGGGAGGGTGAAGCAAGGTGGAGCTCCTCTGAGCTTTCCTGGATGAGGTGAGGATGGAGCCGATTATCCCGGGGGGGAAAGGCTGGGACCCCATGGAGAGGTGGTAGTGGCAGGAACAGCCTGCTGTCTGAAATAACAGAGACAGTGAGTCTGTCGGTGACATCCTTTTAACCTGTGGTTAAGGGTGGGCGCTCCCAGTCTCCTGGATGCAAGTAACCAAGGAACTCCACTGCTGCTCAAGATAAACTGTAGAGCGTCAGCCTCCAGCATAGACACTGGTGTGCTAATTCCAGCCCAGGTTGCCAGACAGCAGGGGCTCTGTCTAGGAGAGCTGGGGACAACACATCAGAAAGGAGGGAAATGAGCTTTGAGCTATTTTTAGTGCTGCATCTCTACGCAGAGCGGACTAGAGGCACGTGCATGCCTGCAAATTCATCAGATGGGAATATATTCACGTACAGCCTGCTCACTAATGTCCTCTCCAACCAAAAGATGCCTTTCTACAACCTAACTTGTGGTGACATCATTTTCTACCCACTGTCATATACTGATTCTCTGCTGGGCAACTTCCTAAGCCCTCTGCCGAAGGTGTGTCCAGGGAAATAGCAACCACTGAGAAATCAGCAGCTTTTGACATCATAGGAAAAGAAAAGTTTCTCAATTTCCCAAATTTTTAACAAGTGCCAAATATAAACTCAGCTTCGTTGGAAATACAAGCACAATGGAATTCTGTAGAACCTTAAAGGAAG